GGTCAAATTGTGCTTGTCATCTGCTGAAAAAAGGAATTTATTTTAACCTTAATAATAATGGCTTTAGCTGAAATTGCTGGCGTTGCAAACGCTCCATATATGCAAACAAACAATAATTCGTTGGGTTTGATGGAACAGGCATATAACCTTAGTAATCCCTATTGTCTTTTAGCACCACCGTCTAAAGGCGTGAGTATCCGAGGAGTTGATATTGAATTATGGATAACTTAATTTTGCACTTTTTTGTTTTTCGCCCTCACAGCCTGTCGATATTAAAGCAATGCATGCTGCAGGTGCCAAAACTGGCATAAAAATTGATTATGACCACGGTACCACTACCTTGGGATTCAAATACAAGGGCGGTGTTATTTTGGCAGTCGATTCTCGCGCAACAGGCGGCCAATTTATTGGTTCACAGGAAATGAAAAAGATTGTAGAAATTAATAAATATTTGCTGGGTACATTAGCTGGCGGTGCTGCCGATTGTGTTTATTGGGATCGCGTACTTTCGAAGGAGTGTCGTTTGCATGAGTTGCGAAATAAAAAACACATCTCGGTTGCTGCGGCAAGCAAAATCATGGCGAACATTGCACACGAATACAAAGGAATGGGGTTGAGCATGGGCATGATGTTGGCCGGTTATGATGATAAAGGTGCCGGTCTCTACTATGTCGATTCGGAAGGATCGCGTTCACCGGGTAATGTATTTTCCGTTGGAAGTGGTTCGATATTTGCATACGGTGTTCTTGATTCTGGTTATAAGTATGAGCTGGAAGATGAAGAGGCATACGATTTAGGTCGCCGTGCGATTTACCATGCCACATTCAGGGATGCTTATTCTGGTGGTATCGTTCGTGTGTACCATTTGAAAGAGGATGGTTGGATTAAAATATCGGAAGATGATTGCAAAGAACTACATTATAAATATGCAGCGGAGAAAAATAACTAAATTTAAATCTTTGTAAATTATATAGAAATACAATAAACATACTAAAATACACATTTTACAAACCGGAAGATTTGTATATCCGTTCACTTATCGACTTTAAACAAGAAAAAGAAAGGGTAAGCGATCACATTATTCCCAGAAGATAATTAAGGTAGACCCTCTTTAAAGTGAAGCCATTCTGAGAGGCTTACCGAAGAGGGGCTGAAAAAATTTATCAAATTGATCAAAATTTATTTTTTTATACAAAAAAAAACACCCTTCGAATTGAGACTTTCTTATGGTCTGATTATGGCAACTTAACGTAACTTACGGCTCTCACTTAAAAATTCGGTTAAATGGATGTTGTTTATAATTGAGCATCCGAAACTTAACGTAACCAAACAAAATTTTGTGAAAGTAAGCATTAAAAATCACAATAGTGATGCGGCGACTTTTGTGACTTTGTTAGAATAAGGGTGTATTAATTAATATAATATAAGGCTAAGGGCGAAGTAGAATATGTATGTAGATAAAAAAAGTATAAAGGCAAGTATAGAGAAAGTGTAAAGATGATAAACAGACAAAGGAAAAAAAAATTGAAGATTATGATATAAGGACCAGCTATGTTGTGTGTTCAGTTCACTTGGACCCAACTTACCATAATTATATCGCTTGAATTTCAACCACTGCACGAACACTAGCTGATGTCATTATTTGCCTGTCGCTGGATACACTTTACCAGTTTATGAACATTTATAAGCGGCATCGGAACAGCCTTTTAAGGTTTTTCTTATGCGACTTTCTAATTTTTTTCTTTTATAAATCTAAAATTTATCAAGTAGGACCTTTGGCATTGATGATGTGTATATGTACCTGCCAGCGTTTCCTCGCTTATTTGCTAACAATCTTTGAACCAGTACATATGTATTCGTATCTGGGGTGTAGAAGGTTGTCGAATGAAGTTTCAGTTTTTGGCGTATTATTATTTTATTGCTGCCAAACTTCGTCTCTCTTGACTGGAGCATTAAATGTATTCCATTCAATGTTTGCGCTTTACTCTATTAAATGGTCAATGCAAAATATGTACGCACACGCCAAACGATCAAAAAATTTTAACCGCTCATAGTTGTTCTTTTTTTGTCTCTTTTGTATATTTAAATTCTTTATTTACAAAAGAAAGAAATGTATATATAGTGTATACGTATAATTAAATTGTACAGATATCTTAAATGATAGGTTTTGTTTACAGCTAGACTAATATTTATATTTTTGTTTTGTTGCTGTTGATACCGTTAAGTAACACAAGACATATTTCTGGAAAAAGTGAGAACGCCAAATCCCATATAAGACAACGAAATTTGTTATTGATATTTTAGTGGTGTTTCTTTACTTTTAATTACACTCTACATACATTATTAGACTAATGCTTATACACATACAATGTTTAGAAAAAAAAACATTATGCGCTGCTGATAAATATTTATTGAGAATCTTAATACGCATACAATTATGAAAGCATGCAAAAGAAGAAGGGACCAAAACAAATGTGTACCGGTGCATGGAGTAATATAATATTCCTTTAATAATGCATATTGAATCGAACGAAATATTTTCTGCTTTTTTTTTGTGGAAACTTAATTCGGAAATAATGTAGCACTTATATATGTAGGTGAAGCATTCGAAAATATGTAACTGAAAATAAGTTAGGTCATTTTCCGTTCGACCCGCTGGCAGGTCGAAAAATGTCCGCTTTACTGCTTCCTGTAAAAAAAAAAAACTAAGCACATTTAGATATATCGCTCGTTTAATAATATAGAGATGTAAATCAAAATTATTGTTATCTGTTAACTTCCCAAATATGACGAAGATATGTGTACCCACTGTGTGAATTGATAAAACTTTGATTGCGATTTTCCACAAAATTGAAATTTTGAAATACATCGTTATATTATTAAACGAGCAATTTGAAAAAAAAAACAAAAATAAATATTTGATAGTTTTTTTGCTGCAAATTCAGTGATTTTAATTCAAAACCCCTATTTTCAGAAATGCAATTCTAACCTAAACCGGCCAGGTTTTGCCGTGTAAAACCTAAACTGTTAAATGGAAAGCAGGCAATATTTTTTTTCTTTAGAAATTCTGTTTAAGACTACTGGAAAAATTTTAAAACAATGGCTTTATGGCGAGTGCATACATTCTTTTTTTTTAAGTTTTCGAATATTTTTAATATCTTTGTCTCCAAAATTTAATTTTATAATTAATGTTAGTCTAATTTTATTATATTATTGCTCTTGATATTTAATCGCTTTAATATACAGCATTACTTATATTTTATTTATGTTGAAATTCAATTTTTTGCAGTAAATTTTAATTATATAAAATTTCCCACACACACACACGCACATCTGTCAATTGTTACATTTGTAGTTTCTTTCTTTTTTACTGATTATTTTTCTTTTTTTTATATAAAACGTACTGCATTATTTAGTAGAATTTGCAATAAAAACAATAAATGATTGTTTAGGTTTTTTGTTTATTGTTTTGCATGGTCATTATCATCTAAAATAGTTGTATTGTTTAGCTTTGCATATAATCATATATATAATATATTATTATACATTTTTTTTTTGTTTTCTGTTGTCCAATTAGAAAAAAAAATAAAATGTGTAGCGTGACATACATACTACGTATTAACTCTAATCCGTTGAAGGGCCTTCAATTTGGTTAATTGAATATTTGCCATGAAAAATAGAGAAAAGATCTAAAAAATAAAATGAAAATAGAAATAGAAATAAAACTAAACGTCTATTAAATTTAAATATTTCAGGCGGGTTGTGTGGTAGACATTCGTGCATAAAAATGGCTTGCCAACCAGGCAACTTCTTACTTCTCTGGATAATCCTTCCAGTTACAATTTTAAATTTTGTTGAATTTGTGTCCATATTGAGGTTGTTTTAACTGCATTTGTTGTTGCACGACGTGGCATTATAACTGTTGACTATTGTAGCAATAGCAATAGACGTTGATTTATGTCGCATTTACAAAATCGTTGTTACAGTTCCATCATTATTTGCATTATTTATCGATGGCGATACGACTTTTGGTACACCTGTGGTAACAAAATAGGGCGAGAGTTAACTAATAATTCAATTCAATTTTATAAAAAATCATTTACATAAATCATTTTGTGGTTTAGCAATATCATCATTATTGGTATTATTGACCCCGCTTTCTGTAGCGGCGGGATCGACGGCGACAGGGACTTCAATAGTCACTTCAGCTTTTGCGTTAGTTTCGATTTCATTTGCTGTATTTAACGCATTTGCGTTTGATTCTGCATTGCCCATATCACTAGCAGTCGGCGCTTGGACTGCTTCTTCCAATTTAGCGTCTTCCTTGTTGTCTACATTGTTGGTCTTGGTATCGGATTCCGAATCTGAGAGATTTATCTCAACAATGTTCGTTTCCTGAACTGATTGAATTTCAGTAATCGGCGCAACAGTTTTTATTGCTACGTTGATCGGTGCCGAAACTTCAGTTGAATTTTCAACTGCAACTGGTGGCACAGTTTCAATTAGCTCGACATCACTACTCTTTGAATTTGAATCGACTTCCATTGGTTCAGGAGTAAGTTGTTTTGGCACCGTTACTGGAGCTGATTCTTCGGTGGCTGGTTCTGCAGTTCCCTCTGTTACACTTTCAACTTTCGGTTCTTCTTCTGGTGTTGGCTCGGGGGCGCTGGACGCCGTCTCTATTGGTTCATCCGCAGGCAAAGAATCATCTGTTTCCATTGGTGTTTCTTTATCCTTCTGGGATACTGGTGCCGATTTTTCAGCTTCTTTACTGGCTGGTTGATCATCGCTCAGTTTTTCTTCGGAAATAGATTCTAGTTCAGCTTTAGTATCTGTTTTATCTTCCGACTTCTCCTCATTTGATACAGATGCCTTGGTTTCTTCTTTTTTATCATCGGTGGCTTTTTCCGCGTCCTCGGCAGGAGTAGATTCAACAGTTGGTTCGGACACATTTTCCTCTTTGTCATTGGATTTTTCTGAAGCTTCCTAAAAATGATTATGTGTTAGTATCACTTTCAATATTAATATTTGTTTTGTTTTGAAATATAGTTTCTTTACTTACTTGCTTCTTATTGGGCGTTTTAGACTTCTCAGGCGTATTAGCCGAGGATATATCGGCTGACCCTTTAGCCTCTTCTAAATCTTCTGATATGTCTATTTTTCGACCACGACCACGAACTCGAGATGGAGTGCTGCTGGCAGTAGCCGGCGAAGTACGTGCCTTTTTGGTGGGTGGCGGAGTTGAAACAGCTGTAGCTCGTGTTGGTGTACCACGTGCGCTTGAGCGGGTTCGTCGTCCACCCTCCAACTCCAAACTGCCACCCATATTCTTAACAAGTTCCTCGCTTTCCTTTTGTGCTCGTTCTATGAATGACATTCGCTTTGAAGGAGTGCGTTTTACCTATGAATAATGAGAAAATAGTTATGCTCACATTTTATTGATTAAAAGCCAACAATTTCGTAGGTATGTACAGATGCACATATAACAAAGCAAAATAAATCACATATATGTGTGACGTTTCATCTTATCAAATGCAAACAAGTTGTTAGAAATAGTCTGAAAAGACCATTGAAAAAAAAAAAAATAAAATAAAACATTTACGACCTGGGATGTGCCGGCACATAACTTGGTATAACATTGTGCCAGAGAAAGACAAAAATAAAACAAACAAAACCTACATGCGTAATCTAAAGATAAGATATATCACTAACAACAATTTGCCTTTATAGGTACATATTTGACATTTTGCTTTAGAAGGGTCGCGTGGAAAGAACAAAAGGTAGCGAAACAAACAAAACATTTTAAACATATTCGCATGCATGCATACAAACATACATATCGTAGTTTAAAGTACAAGACCGCGTATCAACAAAATGCAGAACCGCGTATCTAGATAATGCAAAACCGCGTAAGTGAAGTTGAATAAATTATTTTGTTGTGAATAAAAACACTCATATAATATGATCGATTCCTTTGCTGTGGACTGAAGGAATTGATTCCTATTCCTAATTACAATTCCTTGTAATCTGTAATTGGGAGTAATTTAATTCCTAAAAAAAATCAGCTGTGCAAATATTTCAAAAGGGGGGTCTTTTTTCATAAAGCAATCGCATTTCTGGATAGGATATTTCAGAACGAATATATAAGGATTGAGCCTGTGTGAGCAAAATGACGATACGCGGTTTCGTACTTTAAACGACGTTATGTACATATCGTCTTCAAAAGAGTCACAACTCAAAATTTGGCATTTTTGAGATTATGTGCTAAAAATGTACGCTAGGCTTTTATTTACCTTTCAGCAAAAGCTGAAGCAAATTTTTTTATAATTTGTTTAAAAAACAACTACGGTAAAGCCGCTCTTGCTCGTGTGATTATCATGTGCTAAGAAATAGTTTTTCGCATTTTCTGACAAACTTATTATTTTGAGTTGTGACTCTTTTGAAGACGGTGTGCGATATATTCAACAGAAGAGTGTGGACAACTTTGCAAAAGCAATTACTGCCGAACAAAATTTGTAGCGCGCGCAAATCTAAAAGAGAGAGAACAAATAGTCATCAAGTACAGCAAACCTCAAAAACACAACAAATACATAAAACGTTCGCGCAAGCAGCGAGCCACAGCGCACTGTTTCAACACGACGCCAATTGCGACGAGTGATCAATGTAGCGAGTGCAAACAGCGATATACACAAATCGAAAATGGAACAAATCAACTACCGTGAAACTTTTACGACACCGCGCGCAACGTGCGGTAGAGAAAATTGCAGCAGGAATATAAAAAAACATATTGAAATAAAAATAAATAGTATGCAAAAAAGCCAAGACTACGCTGCTACTGCATAAACTAATGAGCTCCATGTGCCCCAGCAGAGCACGACGCCGAAGGAAGTGGCAACACAAGACATTGCCTCAAATATAAACATGTATTTGTATGGAAAATTTTTAATTAGCGGGGTAAAAACGCGCGCTTTTTATGCCACGAAGAAAAATATATTGGCATGTTTTTGGCCATACATACATATATTTGCATGTACTGAAAAAGTTCAGATTATTCACAATTGTGAAACCAATTTTCCAGATGATTCGCCCCTGTATAGAACTTTGCGCAGTATACATGCTAGGTGAGATTTTATCGCATTACAGCGTTAATTATCAATCCCCCCGCTTGTTAACTCGTGAGCAGAAAGCACCGCATACAAATATGTACATTCAGAAGGGAAAATGCACCAAATGGCTGCCATACTTACGGGTGTCTTCTTTGTGCTTTCCACTTTTGGTGAAGATTCCGCCGCTTTGGTCTCCTCCGCAGCACTCGTGCCCGCATCCGCATCGCCGGCACCAGATTCAGCTTCAATGCTGTTGTTGACCACTTGCTTTTCAGTCGCAGCTAGCGTCTCTGTCTCGGCCGACACTGGAGTACTCGCTGTCTCTACCTCTGCTAGGGTCTGTTCGACTGGTACAGTATTCTGCTGGATTTCACTAATATTCTCAACCTCAGACATTGTTCTAATTTGTATTGTTTAACAAATTCTTATATTAAATTCAATACACAATATTCTATACTTGTAAAAAGATACACTTTTCGCTTTCTATTATATTCAGAGTATGTGATTCACGACGCAAACGACGAATTTTCCGATTCCGGAGCGCTTTTTTTCCACAATGTTTTTGCAAAAATTACTTAGAACTTTTAATATATCTTAATTGTCTACGCAACTTTTATGTATCGTTTTCACTTTTTTTGATAAAATTTTCTATCAATTATACACAAAAACATGTAAATTTCACGAAATTAATTTTCCACTTCACAACGTAACGCCGCGCATTCGTGTAGCTTTTTACTCGTTTCTTTTCAGCGAATAGATGTTGACCACAATGCCTACTCAGTGTTGCATTTTCAAGAGTGGTGTCATCGTCGAAGTTTGAATGCGTCGGTATTTTTTAAGAATTCCAAAAAATAACGTTTAATTTATATTAAATTTGCAAGGACAAATCCATTTCCGTGCTAAATACATAGGCTTTACAAAATGCCTTGAGGTACGTGCCTATTACAACGCTTTTATTTCATCGTTAAAATTGCCCCAAAAAATGGATTTGAAAAATTCAACAGAGTTTTAGGTTGGTAGCACTGCTGAATGAAAACAGGGTTGCACTTACAAGTCCATTTTGCACGTTACACTGGCCACCCAAGACGAACATGTGCGCGAGCTTTTGCCTAACGTGTTTTTTTATCTATGTGTTACTTAAATTTATTTATATTATACTTGTATGTAGGGAAGCAACGCTTCATATGACTCTGTCAACTCCACAAATCGTTCTACGAATAACTAAACCGTTCCCGATATTTGATAATTTCTATCAAAATATTAATAATCAAAAGAAAATATAGGAAATAAAAGAAAATCAAATATACATTAAAAAAATATATATTATGGACTATGTATGGAAAAAACCCATAAAAACAAATTTTTTGTCATATATTTTTATTGAGTCTCTTTTTCCACAAATATCATACACATATTCACGCAATATGTATATCAAACGAGATGTTTAACGTAAAGTAAAAATTTAAAAATTAATTATTACTGTGTGGCAAACGAACAAACGTTAAAAATATAAAAATCGATTGCAATATAAAAATAATTATAATAATGAAGTGCTAACGCTAGTTTTAGGGATGACCACACGACGAACAAACGATTTATCACAGTTAACAAAAGAAAATAACAAAGCATGCTCACTGAAAATCAACATGTTTTTGATGTTTGGCGAACATGCTCATGAACCGCCCCACAAACGACGAGCACACATGTACGTTGGAAATGCAGTAAAAATATTCTGCAATTCAGAATGGTGAAACGAATGTATTATATCGGCCTTGGTAATTCAGCTATGGAGATTTGCGACAGTTCTGGTATTGCATATTTCACGGGGCAAAACTTTGTTACCAGCTTATGAGCGAGCAATAAAATTTACCGGTTACAGGAGTACACAGAATGCGAAAAGGGTTTAAAAAATGACAGACCGGTTAAAAATTTTTGTTACCAGTGCAGAATAGTTAGATTAGGTTCACACAGAGAAACTTTTGTTACTATTTCCAGCAATTTATGTTTTGGTGTTGCACTTCGCGTTCACACAGAGAAATTCTTTTGTACACAATTGTTGTTGTCAGCCGTGAACGGCCAACTAGAATTAGTTAGTGCCCTTCCCCTTCCTCGCCACTTCCTCTCCCACAAGTAACGAGCTGCTGCGACAAAAGTTTCTCTGTCTGAACCTAGACTTAGAGACGGTAAGAAAGTTTAAAAATTGATGTTGAAGAGTAAAAGATCGATGTGTTTGGTTTTTTCAAAACATCGATACATCGATGTCAACATCGATGTTTTTCCCATCTCTAGTGCCGCATTGGGAAATGTCATTTAGGTTCTAAAAACGTAAACATCGTCCAGCACGTTCATTGATATTTATTTTTTTGTAATAAAAATTAATATTTCACTAATAGTTTTATATTAATCAGAGTAAAAATGGTTACCCAGGAACAAATAAAGTCCATAGGAGCTGTTTTGAATAGTAAAGACAGACCACTTAAGGAGCGTTTTCGTGCTTTATTTACATTGAAGAATCTTGGTGGCGCCGAAGCTATTGAAGAAATCAGCCGGGGTTTCGCGGATGACTCAGCATTGCTAAAGCACGAATTGGCCTACTGTCTGGGACAAATGCAGGACAGGAAAGCTATAAATGTCTTGACAAAAGTTCTTGCTGATACGACGCAGGAGCCAATGGTTCGCCACGAAGCCGGTGAAGCACTTGGCGCCATCGGTGTACCTGATGTCATACCGATATTAGAACAGTACAAAGAGGATCCTATAGTGGAAGTCGCAGAGACATGTTCAATTGCGCTCGATCGTGTGCGCTGGATACAAAGTGGTCAACAAGTAGATGATAACAATCCCTATGCATCAGTTGATCCCTCACCTCCAGCGGCTGGCATGAAAACAGTAAATGAATTGAAAGCAATTTACTTAAATCCAAAGAAGAGTTTATTTGAACGTTATCGCGCTATGTTCAGTCTTCGTAACCTGCGAACCACTGAAAGTGTTTTAGCCATTGCCGAGGGCTTGAAAGATTCCTCGGCGTTATTTCGACATGAGGTAGCATTTGTATTAGGCCAAATACAGGAGCCATGTAGTATTCCATACCTTAAAAACAACTTAGAAGATCAAAACGAGAATGAAATGGTACGTCATGAGTGTGCTGAGGCTTTAGGTGCAATCGCTACAGAGGAATGTATTGCTATATTAAACCGTTATGCGGAGGATGATCAACGCGTCGTGAAAGAGAGCTGTGAGATCGCTTTGGATATGTGCGAGTATGAGAATAGCCCCGAGTTTCAATATGCCGATGGTTTGAACAAAATTTGCTCATAGTTA